ACAAAAGTTTGGGATTAATTCATGGCGGTAGAGCATCTAACCTTCGCAATATGGTAATATCGAATAGACTTCGTAAAACACGAGCTTGTATAAAACAATCCATTTTCAAACTTACTTATCCTAAAAATCTTACGTTATTGTCATTGCAATTGAATTAAAAGACCAATTATAGTAATTCATCCGAACACTCGGCTGATCCGTCATCATCGAGTTCACCCGGTGCGGCGCCAAATATGAACATTCTGCTCACGATTCGACTGCTCATGCAAGGAAAAGTGGGCTATCTCCTTTGTTATTATGGCTTTTAAGAGCACAACATCAATGAAGTTCTTCCAGGAAGTTGGAAGTATAATTGGTAAACGCGGTGATCAAATCAAGCGGATTCGGGAAGAGTCTGGTGCAAAAATTAATATATCAGATGGATCATGTCCAGAACGAATAGTTACTATTACTGGAAGTTTAGCGACAATAAATAAAGCATTTGCTATGATCTCGAATAAATTCGAAGAGGTAAGCTACATCTTTATCATTTCATCTCTCTTGAAATTTTGGAGAGTTTCGTAAGGTTCTGTGGCCAACGTATACTATGTGTAGGCTTAACTTTATCTCTCAAAGCTATATGCTCGTGCGAAGTCTCGTATTTCCTCTCAAAGCCGACCTCGGATCGAATATCGCTTTCAGCGTAACTACCATCGCCGCTTTTCTCTTTTTTTTTTTCTCTCAGATGCAAAGCGCTATGAAGAAATTCGTGAGGATGCAGGGTTATTTGGCTAAACTTGGCATAAACAGTGGCTAGGCAGCCAGCCGCTCGTGTTTGAGAAGCCACCATATGGTCGACGCATAGCGGTTGCGGCGAACGTTAATGGTGGCTTTGCGACTTGATGAAATCTCTAAGAAGTGCATAGCATGAAACTTTGCAATAAATTTTACAATGAGATACGTGGTCATAATTTTTACAATAAAATATGTTTACGGTCTTCATGTAGGAAGTGGGAACTTATGGCTGAAAGAAGATATGTCTCAGCAAATGTTCAAAATAGCTCGCTAATTATTGAGAAATCTCTTGAAGCAATATGTTATCAGTTGAGCTTGGATTTGAATATATTGAACATAAAACGTCTCAGAATGACATGAATGATTCAGTCTTGTTTCTTCTGAAATCCCCCATCTTCAAACATGTTTACTAAGGAAAGGAGAATATCAGTCTGCTAAGCTAAGCCTGAATAAAATCTCGATAAAGCTGTTGCGCTTGGCCTAATGAATCTATTTTAGTCCTAAGTTTATGAAAATCTGCACTCCATCTAGACAAGTTATTTAGAATTGCAGAAAATTTATGCTTATTCTGAAACTTTCTATATTGCTGTTATGAAATGCTTATTTCAGGATATGCGTGCACTACCAAACTCCGTACCAAAGCCACCAATAACAATGCGATTGATCGTACCAGCAACTCAATGCGGTTCTCTTATAGGAAAAAGCGGCTCAAAAATTAAGGAGATTCGAGAGGTAAGACTGTCAGCAGATGGTCCTTCTAAATTATAGCTGCTAGCCGTATTTTGGGGCGTACGCAATCGTTCTCTTCACACTAAAAGTATTTTATAGCATGTAGCCTATAAAATTGAAAAAAAAA